CTATTTCTTTCAGGTCCCTTCTAATATTATCCTCCCATCTACGTCTCGGTCTACCTAGTGATCTTTTCCCGTTTGATATACCGACCAATATATTTTGTGCGCCGTTCGWTCMTTCCCCATGCGCGCCACGTGACCAGCTTATCAGCTATCTTAATCAGCGTGATTTTACGACGTTGATAATGTTCGGTTTATTGTACAATCGATGTATTTCAACGTTACGGAGTCTTCTTCATTCGGCCGTTTCCTCCTCATCGCGTTTKGCATCGAAGATTAACGAAGAACTTTGTTTTCGAAAACCTTAAATTTCTTTTCGTCCCGTAACGTAAGCGACCTCGTTTGGCTACCATAAAGTTCTTGTTTCTTATGGCACGCGAAATTGTCAGATATCGCGTAAGTCAAGGGGTTAACAAAACGATTGAGATTTGACAAAAACTATGTCATGAAGATGGACAAGTGGACAATAACGAGTAGATCCAAGATGTTGCTATGAGATTTCCAGAAGCTAATCTATTCCAAGCACTATATGATAATCCAAATTCTGAGGTGAACAATGATTTGCGCTTAGCAACGCTAAATAAACTTGGTGCYATTGCTAAACAGAATTAAAAACTCATGCCTAATGAACAATACTAGGAATTGATGAAAAGAGCTAACGAAAATCAGAAAGAACTTCTAATGCATGTTATTCACCATCTTAAGTTAGAAAATCACTCTCCATGAAAAATATTTTTAACGAGCCTTTCGGATGTGGTAAAACGTTTGTGATCAGATTATTAACCTTTGCTTATCACTCTTGGTCCAAAGGACCTAGACCTTTTTGTAACTTAATTTTAGGTACTTAAAGCAAATGATAGCTGGTCTACTACACCATTTCCCAATAGTTGAAGAATTTAACCACCCTTCAGACCGTTTTGTGTAACGTTAGAGCCATTAGTATACTTTTGGCAGCTGTTGAAAAAATGGCCCGAGTCCAAAGTACCTGAGTATGGTAAGTACGTTCGAAAATGATTTTTTGGAATGAATGTTTTTTTTTATGTATTTTGGCTTTAGATTGAAGAAAAAAGTTTATAATATATGTTTAGCAGCGTTTAATTTTTTTATAACAAATATATAATATTTTAATAACGATAATTTTTTATTGGAGCGACGATATAGGATTCACGCTATAAGCCATTTTGTTAGAGTATAAACACGTGGCGCTGCTTGCCACGAACATTCTGTCGCTATGTGCAACGATTGTTGTGATATATAAAAAAAAAAAATACTATTTTTATACATATTTCACTCATTTTATATTAATTTCATATAAATGTAATAAAATAATAATATTTTGAATAAATATAATACTCTAACAGCTGATATAATAGAGAATTTCGAAGAAAACGAGTATTTCATATATTCGATAAATATTGGCAGACAGTAAGGTAAAGGGGTGTAAAAATTAAAAAAAAAAAAAAATCACAAGGTTCCTGAACAAAAACTTTTTTATTTTATTATTTCAACATTAAGAAAACAATTTACAAAATGGCAGACAAAAATTTTGGGGCTAAAGCCTTGACAGACAGCTTGAAAAAGCGCGCTATAATAGCCTTCATAACATAAAAACTTTCTAAAAACTTTCTAAAACATTTCTTGAAAAGCTTTAAGCCTTCCAAAAAGGTTTCTAAAAAATCTTTCTACAAGGTGAAAATGTTCGCGTTCAGAAACTTGCAAAAGATTATTCTATCAGTAAAATATATTGAAAATGTTTTTAAAATATTTTTGTAAAATCTTTTATGAATCTTTTTCAAAATATTTTAGAATGATGCCTGCAAGGTTTCTGAAAGATTATTTGAAAATATTTTACGAAACCTTCGCTGAAAGATTTCAAAACTTATCGTGTTATGTGGGATACCATGAAGGGTAAAACTGTAACGACCGATAATTTTTTTACAAGTATTCCTGTCGCTTTAAATTTAAGAATTAAAAATACTTCGTTGCTTGGAACAATACGCGCAAACAAGAGAAAACTGCCGAAAATTTGCAAATTGGAAAAAGACAGCATGGCACGTTTTTCAACGTTGTTGTACCAATCCAATAGATGCACATTTATCGTTTACAAAAGCAAACCAGATAAAAGAAAATATAAAATAATATATATTATCTCCTCTTAAACCTTAAAAAAATCTTTTTCGCAGGTTTTATAGTTATATCGAATTGTAGAACTATGTCTTCCACTTTTTGTGGGACATCTACATGAACAGAAAATTTTCTCAATACAGTAGCAATTATTGCTTTCATTTCGAGCATTGCCAAATTGAAACCTATAACAGCAGAAATGATTCTCAATGTAATATTAMAAATATTTATATATAAAACAATTTCCTTACTAGATAAACAAATGATATTACCAATGCAACCTCTTGGCACAATGCTGAATGGTAGAAAATGTTTAATATCGTAATTTCCAGGTAAAAATCTATCAGGATTAAATTGTAAAGGATTTTTCCAATATTTTTCGTTTTGATGAAGTGCAAAAAATAGGAAAACACAAATAGAATTTTTTGGTATTATGACATCCTTGCTCACTTCACAAAATTAATAAATATATAGAATTAATACGTGAAATAATAACGTAAATTGTAAAAGAATATACGCAAATATTTATT